CACAGAGGCCACCAGGAGACGCAGCACTTTGCAACAGACTCAGGATTTGTTTTTGTTTGGCTTTTTTGTGTTTTGATTTTTTTTCCCTTTTTTCCCTTTTTTCTCTTTTGTGACATGGAAGATTTAGTGACTTGGGAAAAGGTGGCAGGGAGGGGAGAGCAGAGCTGGTCATAAATGAAGGTGGGAGGACAGGCAAGAGAAATGCACGAGAGGGGAGGCCCGGGAGGAGCACAGAGAAAAACAGGAGAGACCTGGAGACGAGCTCATGAGCGAGAGACGCAGAGGCAGGAGGAAGATGCGGGGAAGCAGAGCACACGGATGGAGACGGACAGCAGAGATAAGAGGAAATAGAGAGGATGGAGACAGACGGAGAAGGTCGCCCCTGGGACAGGCAGAGACAGGGGACCGGCACCGGGGCCCCTGTGATTGGGGGCTAGGAGGGGCCCTGGTCCAGACAGGCTCCCGGAGTGGCAGAAGCTGCCCAGCCCCCGGCCCTCCTCCTGGCGCCCGCCCGGCTTGCCCAGGCTACCCAGCAGGGACCGCTGGGGCTCTGCTGTCCTCAGCACCAAGCCACATCCGCGGGTGTCCACGGGCAGGCAGGACATCAGCTGGGCCCCGGAGTGGCCCTGGCTCGACGCACCATCATGAGGGTCTCGGGTCCTCCTCCTCCTCCGGTTCGGCTCTGGCAGCCTCGCTAGAGTGCGTGGTTGGTGTAGGTGACGTAGGTCTGTTTGGTGGCCAGCACTGGAAGGAGAGACCGGGGTACGCAGGAGGCAGAGGCTAGCTTCCTCACACCGCCCGCCGCGCCGGCACTGCCCTGCCAGGGCCTCAAGTCCAGACCCCAGAGCAGAGCATCCACCTTCCCCGGCCTGGGCACCAACTCCCTGCCCTGGGCCGCCTGCAGCTCCTCCTCCCTCCTTCACGCCTTCGCTTGGGCTGGGCTTCCTGCTGGGAGTGTCCGCCCCTTCACCTGTTGCTCTAGGTGTGGCCCCTCTTTGGGCGCTCCCTCCTGCCACCTTTGGACTCCACCACACTTTAAAAGAATCACTTTTATCGGCGATATATTGTATATTTTTAAAGCCCCGTTGACCCTTAACATGTGTTTGAACTTCGAGGGCCCACTGATATTCAGCTGGTTTTCTTGCTTTCGTCTTGTTTTGTTTTGAGTAAATACCCGGTGTTTTTGATCCGTGGCTGGGAGTGTGCGGATGCGGGGAACCTGCTGTACGCCCCGGTCCTCAGCAGTGTACGTGGGGGCGGAGCATCTGCGGGGCTGGTACCCACGGAGGTCCTGGACCAAGCCCCTGAGGAAGCCCAGGGGCAACTTAAGTTTTGGGGGGTCAAAGTTATAGATATATTTTCCGACTGCACGGGCGTTGGCACCCCAAGCCCCTGCTATTCAAAGGTCAACCACATCATCAAGGGAAGTTTTCAGAAGCCCCACCGCACATTCTGGAAGAGCCCAGGCCCAGAATATACGGGGGCTGGCAGCCGACGGGACGCGAGTGGAGAAGGGACAGAGGAATAAATAATGGAGCCAGAGCGGGCCCTGGCTGAGCTAGGCATTGAGGCATCTGACTGGCTCGGCCTCTCCCCACGCTCGAGCGAAGGGGAAGTTCTTAGGTCCCCTCGGCTCTCCATGTAGCCACCCTCCCCATTTCTGGGCGCCCCTGTCTCGCCTCAGCCTTGGCCTCCCTTATCTGCACCCATCACTCTGGCCCTCGCTCGCCCGCCCCTGGGCCCCAGAGGGGGCCCCATATCTGGGTAGCTCCCATTTCCTGGCCACAGCCTTCACGGGCGACATCAGCTGTCTGGGCAGCGTGAGCGCTCCCCCAGGGCTGGCCTCACAGCAGCCAGTGAGGAGCTGAGGCCCGAGGGGTGGGCTGGCCAGGTCCTTGGTTTTGTCCTGTCCTGCCAGCGTTCAGGGTCTCCCTCCGTCGCCTGGGGACACCCAGAGGACAGCAATCAAGGGCAGAATGCCGCCTGGGGAAGGAGGCTGCACCGGAGAAAATGACGGTATTGCTTGTCGTAAAGCTGCCCTGACCCACAGCAGGACCCTGTCATCAGGAAAGGAGGCACACCCACCAGCTGCAGCCATGGCGTCTGGCCCGGAGAAGACACTGAGGGCAGCGGTGTGGTGAGCTGCACACTGTCCCCTCGATCCTCTTTCCCATTTTTGTTGGACTCCCAACTGCCAAAGTTAAGGACTACACTGCCAGCCTCCCTTGCAGCAGTGTGGCCCTGCATGGCGACATTCCTGCTGACAGGTGAGCGGAAGGGCCGTGTGCAACTTCCATGTCATTTGATTAAAATCGGTTGTTTCCCCCAGACCTCCTCTCTTTGCCTTCCATGGGCAGAACAGACAGGAAAAGCCACCAGCCTCAGCCATGAGGACAAGGACAGCCCTCCCAGAGCTGATGGAGCAACAGGATGGAAGGAACCTGGGTCCCCGCTCCTGCCGCCACCATGTACTATTATATGAGACAGAAACAAACATTGTCTGACTGAGCCACTCTGTTCGGGGGCCTTTTTCTCACGGCAGTGTAACTGGAAGCCCGCTGATACAGGCAGGATGAAGGAGGAACTTTCTCCTGGCCAGAGCTGAGTGGAGTGGATGCCCTTCGGTGGTGGTTGGGCTCCCTGTCAGCAGAAATGTGAGAGCAGAAGATGAACGATCACTAGGCTGAGCCCCAGGGCAGTTTCAAGTTTTAGGTGCCACCCAGACAGGTGCTAAGGGAAGGAAACGGTGCCCATGGCATCCAGGAAAAGAATAAGAACACAGCACAGCACCTGCTAGTTTACAAAGAATTCCCACCTTCCCCTGTGAAATGTCCACCCTGCTCCAGGGTGCTGGGTGGCCGAGAGGGAGGGAGGGCCACGGGATGAGTCCATTTCAATGCCACCAGCCTCAGCCATGAGGACAAGGACAGCCCTCCCAGAGCTGATGGAGCAACAGGATGGAAGGAACCTGGGTCCCCGCTCCTGCCGCCACCATGTACTATTATATGGGAGCCCAGTCCAGGGGGGGCCTGGGTGGGTGCCCCTGGGGAAGGGAGCTGAGGGACTAGAGGCTGGAGCCCCGACATGGCCGCACTGCTGAGAGGGAGGTGGTGGGGGGGACTAGCAGATCAGCACTCCCGAGACAGCCCCGAACTCCTCTGGGACCCCTGCTAGGCCTGTTTCCCCGCCTGTAACACAGAGCGGAGGCCGTGTTTGCCTAGGCTTCTCTTCCTGAGGGGAACCCCCACCCCCCCATCTCCACCCCACCCTGTCCCTCACCAGCAAAAAAGAGCCGCAGCCAGCTCTGAATCAGCCCTGCAGGCCAGCTGGTGAGAACCGGCTCCCCAGGGCTCCGTCACCCTCGGGGTGAACTGAGAAAATTGTTTCCGAAACTGCACGCTGCCAGCAGCTCCGGCTCCCAGGGGAGGAGAACCCAGCAGCAGCAGCAGCAGCAGCAGCACCCCACCGGCTG